GCACAGCCCTTGGCCAGTCCCAAAGTTCAGAGCTGGTGGGGGGGGGCGGCGCGAGCTGGGTCAGGGGGGAGCAATGCAGTACCTGAAGATGGGGGTCGTGGGTCAGAGATGTATATCTGTTTTTAAAGCAACTCCCTGCCATGTGTCCATGCTTATCCCTGCAATGTTCTACTTCTTCCCCTGCTTATTCCAGCCTCTCTCCCAGTCCAGTTTGTAGGCAGAGAAAGTGTAAAGGATAAGATCAGGAGGAGAGGCGTTTGAAGTCTTACTGGAAAGGTGACAAAAACAGAAGGGTAAAGATCCTTTGGTTTTACCAATATTAATCACTTGTATGCTGCTTCATACAAATTGGTGTTGTACATACGGATTTTCATTTGTCCTCTCAAACTCTCTAAATGAGCTATTAGTTCCTTTTTTTGTGGTTTGTTGTTTTGTTGATTTTTTTTGGGTTGTTGTTGTTTTGTTTCTTAGTTCCTTTCATAGGTGACGACAATGGGTATGGGAATTGAAGATCAGAAAACTGAAGTACCATACCTAAGCACACAGGGCCAGCAAGTCATTCCACCCAAGGTTGTTTTTCTCAAAGGCCAGATTCAGTCCTGTGTGGTAGGCTGCTTCCTCATTCATACAAGGGGAAAAAAAACCTCTTGTATACAGGTTGGTAGTTACTATCACTGCCCTGAGGCCTTTCAAATAGAAATCTCCAGTTGTTTACCAGTCAGCTTTTAATTTTAAAATACTTCGAGTTTTATGATCAAGGGTCTCATTCACCATTAGGAAATAACATACCAGCAATCTCTTTCTGCTCCTGGGCATAAACTGACAGCCACAGTGAAAACATATGATCTTTATAGATTAACACTAATACCTCACAATCTACATCTTCTTGTTGTTGTTGTGTACCTTAGAATCAGAGTCACCCCAAAGCTGACCCTTCACTAGGTTTTCAGAGGCAGTTAATCGCATGGAAGGAGACTAACCAACCTTCTCCCATGGAGCAGCTGGTGGATTCTAACTGAATACCTGCAGGATTGCAGCACAGTTTAGGCCCCATGCCCCTGTGGTGTGACAAATTTTGTCCACCGTCAACAAGATGGATTGACATAGTCACTAACAATGGCCTCGAGTATGCCAGAGATCCTAAGGATGGTGTGAGATAGGACGTTTTCAATTTGTGGTTTCTAGAGTTGCTACAAGACATAGTTGGCTGGGTGACACAGAACAACAACAAAACAATACCTGAATGGTCAACTTTAATCTCTAATGTGCAGTCCTGAGCAGATGTGGGGATCTGCAAGTGGTTCTGGAATTAGGGACCGCTTGGAGTCCGAGGTGTCAGTCTTTGCCCTAAAAGTGAGCACAGCTGAGAGCCACAGCCAAGCAACTACAAATGTGGAAGATGATGGGGTCTTACTAAATTACTGTATCTCAGATTTTGTCTTTAAAGTGAAAGTATTCATTTTATCTTGAGAAAGGAATGCCATAGAATGGTTTGGTTCTTTTTTGGATTGAAACTTCAGTCTTTTAGTTGGAATGCTTTTTAACCCTCCTCCTTGTATTATTCTGAACTTTGTTTTTTGCAAAGATGCTGCCCTTTGGGTGTCACTGGGTTTATTCTGAGCAGGAAGAGTTCTTTCATCATGGTTATTACTGTGCACTTTGCAGACTTGTGTGACAGGCAATGGAGGAAGGCCTTGGTCTAAGTTAGAAAGAAGTCTTAAGGGCCATGGTTTCAGCGATTCCACTAGTCTCCATAAGACCAATAAACCTATTTGAAAAACAATTTAGAAGTTACTTTTTCTCTATCATTTATTGTTTTAGACCTCAAGGAATTACACTGCTAGCCCAGAGTCTGCACCTCTCTGGCCATTCAAATCCATCAAGCAATTCCAAGGGAGAAAAGATGGACAATCTCTTCTTGTGTGATTTACAGACTTGGAAAGTAAGGCAGGGTCTGCTATGGTTGGCTCTGACTGGATTGTAATGAGTTTTTTAAGTTTTGTCACTTCAAGCAGCTGAAAACAGTGTAAGATATTCTTCCATTTGACCAAGCTTGCCACATTGCTTAGTAGAGAGGAGTTAGTTAGAGACTCTGTTGGGATTTATCATGCAGCTTACTCAGAGGGGAACACCATCCAGCCTATTTATTTGCCTTCCTTGTTATAATTAAACCTGGAGACAAATACAAAATGAAAAGAGTTCACAATCACCTGTTTCTTTATGATGACACATGGCAGTGTTTCTGAACCACGGGAGTACATTAGAACCACCCGGGGAGCCTTTAACGCTCTTAGTAAGTGTGTCCTGCCCAGTGGTAGCCATTTGCCTGTTCAGTCAATTTTGACCCATATGGACTCCATGTGTGCCACAGTAGAATTGTGCTCCACGGGGTTTCTAGTGGCTTTTGAGCAAGCAGATTATCAGTCTTTTCCTCTGTGCTACCTCCGGGTGGACTTGTATTTCTTCTACCTGTTCTTTTGGTTAGCAAGTGAATGTACAAACCATTTCAATCACCTAGGAGTCCTCGTACCCCTTCTGGAGCTATGGTGATCCATCTGGGAATCAGTAATGTTTACGTCTTCAGGAAGTTCTCATGTCCTGCTGAGAGCCACTGATATGTTAGAGGGTGATGGACAGGTGGATGGGATGGGATAGGAACAAGAGTGTAGGACGAATTGAAGATGTTACATGGCAAGAATAAGGGCCCTAGACTTACTCAGAGGTAGCCTTGACTTTTAGATCTGGCACATGTTCAAACTATGTGACATTGGGGAAATTATTTCACTCTCTTGAGCCTCAACTTGGGCATTTTTATAATGAGTATATAGAGCGGTGATACAAACGAAAGAAATGTATGAGGAGTCCCCTGCCAGGTAGCAGGCAATTTAGGCAGAACTATTTTTATCCTTGTGATAAAACAAGTTAACAGGCTTAACAGATTATGTGTCAGGCACTGTTCTGAGTTCTTGTTAGGAAAGGTGAGGAAGAGGAGCTGAGGCCTAATTAAGCTATTAGGAGGTTGAGGAGGCTGGGAAGGGGAAACCTACAATAGAGTTCACTCACCCAGTGGTGTCAGTTACCTTTGCATGTAAGAACGGAGGAGCGTGATTCCCAGAAGAAAGTACATCATGATGGAGCACACCATCATGGCCAGTCCTAGGAGAATAGCCCGGTCCTCTCCTGCTTTCAGCGCTGTCACTGTTTTCCTTTTGTCCAGGAGGTCGTGGTCCTTGATTTTTTGGTAAATATTTCTGAGGTTAAAAATAATACAGTCTGCCGTGAAATTCATAGTCAGTTAGGAGTCCTTCAAAAGTGGGTAACTGTAACCCACATCCTCCTAGGAACAGAGAAACCTTGAAGAGCCTTCCAAACAACATATGGATCCAGCTCAGCCTCTCTCTCTCTCTTTCTTTCTTACACACACACACACACACACACACACACACACACACTAACATATAACATGGGGGGAAGAATTCAAACCATCATAACAGTACATAAAAATCTCTTCTGAGTTTAAAAACTGATTTCATTGCTTCAACACACACACGCATACACACATAGTGCACACACAAATTCACTCACTACACACATCTATACACATGTGCATGCATACCCAACTGTGCCCATCATGTGCATGGGCATATACACACACACACTCACCATCCCTGAGCAAAACTAAGCCCTCCTTCTTTAGCTTGGGGCTCACATCTAACCACAAAATTGTTTTCTTTTCCCCAGTTCTAAAGAAAGAATGCAATCCCCTTAGCCATCAAAAGAATACTGTGGGCTTATTACCATTGCCATTTATCCCCAGCTGATCAGCATTGATCTTTTTATGAATAATTCAAATAAATGGGAATATACATTAGGAATTTATCAACTTAATATCTAGTTTCCTTTCAGCAATAATAGAGAGGAGTCATTTTGGTTAATATTTTTCTCAAGCTTAGAGTTGCTTAGGGCTCTGCTGAAATGAGACTGATAAACATGTAAAAGTGTGGAACAGTGACCTGGGGTGCCTTTATTTTATGTGTCACACTTGTGTGGGTTGAGAAATGCATCAATCAAGTCCAGGTCAATCTCCTTAACTTTGAATAGGTTTGCTAGTATTTTTAGAAGATTTCTTTTTGAGAATCATAAAATATTGGGGGGGGGGAAACAGAATTAAAAAAACATCATGGCAGAGCATGAAATCAGTCAAAACATCTTCTGAGTTAAAAAGCTGATATCATTGTTTACCTGCTATGGGATTATTGACAAAATACTTGGCCTTTCTGAATCCCAGTTTTGTAAAAATAGAAACAGCATTTGTTTTACTGCACTGTAGTGATTAGATGAGATGGCATGTCAATAATGACTGGAATAAGTAAATAAGGCTGTTACATACTGATGATCTGACTCATAGCTGACCCCTCAGTAAGTTTTCAGAGGCAGTTAATCACATAGGAAGAAATTGACCATCTTTCTTCCATGGAGCAGCTGGTGGGTTTGAACTGTCTCTGCCTTTGGGTTGGTGGTGCAGATCCTTACCACTAGGCCTTTCACTGGCCTAGTAAGTAAGTAAAAAGTATTCCTTATCCTCTGCTCAAAGGGAATCTGGTGGTGTAGTAATTAAGCACTTGGCTGGTAAACAAAAGGTCAACAATTTGAACCACCAGTGCTTTATTGGGAGAAAGATGTGACCATCTGGTTTACCACCTGTGAACAGCATGAAAGAGACTTCCAGTGGTATAGTTTCCACAGAGTTATGTTCATAACCCAAGGTGGTACCTCCTGCTGGTTTGAATCCACCATAAAAGCTTTGAATGAGAAAAAAAAAAGGTAATCGATTCTCTTGTGATTTATAGCTTCTGAAAACCTGCTGGAGGGTCAGTGAGGAGTTAGTTCCTGCTTGACAGGAATGAATTTGATTAAGAACTGCCATGAGGTGGTTCTACTCTGATTTCAATGAATAGCAATAAGTGCACTGTGGTATCTTCTCTTCAGCACAGGATGGGAAGCTACAGCGCAATGACATAAACATTCTAAAATTGCTGCTATTCTTCAAAGGTGTGTTCTAAATGACAGGGTGGCAAGAGAATGAAAAGAGTACAAAACCGAGCAGTGGAGAAGTGGATTTAAAACAAAGTCTGAAAGAAGAAGGCAGAGGGAAATGAGAAAATGTTGAAGTAGCTGGCAACAGGAATGTAGATAGGAAGGTGATATTTGAGAAATTCAGTGAGACAGGTGGACACAAAGCAGAGACCTCAAATTGCATTTTGAGAAGGGAGTTTTGGATTACAGGGGCAGAATGTCCTTGGTTATCAGGGTTTGGGTGAAGAGAGAAGCGGAATTGAACTGCTGAAAATGGAGAAACTGAAAGATATTTAAGCATCACATGGCATATGTAAGAATAATATCATATTTCATTTAATGATTTTCTAAAAGATACACATTAATGTTGTGTTGAATAATATGCTATTTTACTCAGGAGAAGAAATCAGAGTAGAGCCCAGAGTGAGTATTTAATAGAGAGAGGAGCATATGCTGATGTTCAGCTGTGTGTATATTCAGTTCTCCAGCCATGGATGGTTTGTGTTTATGCCTGGCATTCCTTCTGACTGGTGACCCATGCTGGATTGGTTGTTAAAAATTTTGAGCCCATGTATGTATTAAATATATTTCCAAAATGTCTCAGGGTTGTTGTTGCCTTGTGTGTACCTCTAAGTAGATTCTGACTCATGTTCGCTCTATAAGAAGAAAATTGATCCAGAGAGTTTACTAGACTGAAATCTTGGTGGGAGCAGATTGCCAGTTCTTTCCTTTTGCAGATCATCTATTGCGTTCAGATCACAGACTCAACCGGTTAGCAGCTAAGTGATTAATTGCTGCACTACCAGGGGTCTGCAGTGAGTCCACATTGGTTTGAATCTACTAGTGGCAAAGAGACTAGAAAGATGGGCTGTTTCCCCCATCAAGATGTCAAGATTTACAGCCTCAGAAACCCAAAGAGTAGCTGCTGTAAGTGGAATTGACACAAGAGAAGTGGATTGTTTAAGTTCTTGTTACATAGAAGCTATTAGTCCTCCTTTTATCAGGACAGTTCTTACCTTCCCCTCTCCTCTCACAGATCCTCCCCACCTTCCTAAAACCTCTCTGGTGGCTGCACATCATTCTCATTGTTAGGGGTTCTGAGCACCCATGTCTTCATTATTTTTTCTCCCCATTTTTTTTATAATTGTAATTTTTTACCAAATGTTTCAAAAAAAAATTTGGATTTTCATTCATTCATCATTATACACTTTACTCCCTAACCTCTGTTCATTTTTTTAAAAGAAAAAAAAATATTCATTCATTATTGCATAATTTCCTCCTCCCCCCATAATCTCATACCTCCCCCAGATCACTTTGCTATGCACCTCTTATTCTGGACTGTTGTCATACAAATAAAGCCTAACCATATATTTCTTTTAAACAGTTCTTTCCTTCATCTGTTCCAATGCAGTGTTCATCATTTATTCCCTTTTTTCTTTGTTACAGTTTCCAAGCCTAAAACCCTTGGACTAGCCATCCTGCCCTATTTGTTTATTTATTTTTAACTTGCATAGGCTGGCAACCTACTACCTTCCAAGTATCCTCATTCTTTTCTCTGATTTCCTCTGAAAATTATAGCATTCACATCAAATCTCTTTAAACGTGACCCTTTATGAATAAAAAGAATCAGTCTCTATTAGCGGCTAACGTCAGTGGACAGAATGACTTCTGCAGCAGGAAGAGGCAGTTTGGATTGAAGTGTCTTCAAAGACATGCTGTAAAATAATAATCTGATGTTACCGTGCAATTATTATTTATCAAAATGTATTTAACTTTGATGACACTCATTGAGATTTGCATTTTCTGCAGATGGAAGTTGGCAAGGAAGGTGAAATAATGTCAGAGTTCCAGAGTGTTAGGTTGTCACAGAGCATCACTTATGTCAATCTAGACCCATAAAAGAGACACAAGATCATTAGCCACTTATGTCACCAGAAGAGGGAGAATATAAAAATGATTCAAATGTGTATGTACTTCAAAAACAAATCACAATTTGAAAATGGTTAAGGAATATTCTTCATATGCTCTGGAATGTGTAAAGAAAGGGAACAATGATTTTCTTACACACGGGTTTTCCCCAGCAAAAGGGTAGTGGATTGAGTTGCATGGGCCATACTCAATAAACAGCAAGTGAATGAATGGATAAACAAAAGAAGAAATGACTAATTTAGAAGAGCAAAAAGTTCCATTTGGGTCTCACAAACTTCAGTGTAGGTGACTTCTGGTCACTAGGAATATGACTTCTGTTTCATAGGAAGACAGCCATAAAAGTAAATGTCATTCTCAAACTCAAAACTTGTTTTTGAGTTGGATTTGGCTTATAGCTGACCTTCCCATGGGTTTTTAGAAGGCTCTAAACCATATGAGAAATTGCCCACGTTTCTTCCTCAGAAGTGGACTGGGCTAGCAACTCAATTGCCTGTGATTATGTCATCAGATCTCAAATGTCAACCTACAGTAGGAAGTTGAATGATATAATTACTGTAAAGCACACTTAGATTAGGCTAGAAGATATGGCAATGGAGTCTGAGCTCTTGAATTGGGAAACACAAAGGAGGAGGAAATTTTGCCAGAAGATACTGGTAATTGGAACATGAAGAAGTATAACTGTAGGAAAATGGGACATTGTTAAGGACGAAATGAAACTTTTAAATATTGATATATAAGACATTGGAGAAATGAGATGAATTGGCGTGGGATTTTTGAGTCAGACAATCGTATGATCTACTGAGCCACAAATGAAAAGTGAGTGGCATTCATAGCTACATAGACCATTTCTAGATCTATCCTGAAATACCATATGGTGAGTGACAGGATAATATCCATATGTATACAAGGAAAACCTACTAATGCCACTGTCATTCAAATATATGCACCAACAACCAGAGTCAAAGAGGAGGAAATAGAAGATTTCTATCAACATTTGCAGTTAGAAATCTATCAAACATGCAAAAATCAATGCATAAAAAACATCAAGGATGTATTTATAAAAATTGGGAACTGAAATGCAAAAGTAGAAAGCTAGGAAGAAGAATCAGTAGTTGGAAAACACAGACTTGGTGATAGAAATAAGGATTATTGATTTATTCATTGCAATTGTCAATGATTTGATCATTGCAATTATCTTTTATGAGAAATACAAATGGTGACTATACACATGGACCTCATCTGATGG